CCCAGGCTGAGCCCTGCAGTGCTCTGCACCCCGAGTGACACAGCCTGCGGGACACGGCTGAGCCCCATTGCTGTCCCTGCCATGGGGAAGGGACAGAGGCACCGTCACCAGGAGCCAGTTTGGGGACATCGTGCCAAGTGCCAGTGCCACAGGCCTGGGGACCAACGTCCCCCCCTGCCAAAAATGCAAACAGGGCTGGAAACGAGGTGGGAGCCAAACCCTCCCCTGCCTGCCAAGGCCAACACGCCGGGTCCAAAATAGCCCGTGTCCCGCGCGGCTCCGGCGGGAGCAGAGGGTGCCAGAGGGAACCACCCACGCGGGCCGGGAAGGCCGGGAAGGCCGGCAGTGCCACGGCTCTGCCAGACAGAAAGGTCACCCCGTCCAGATCCCACAGCCAGGCTCGGGCACAGGCCCAGGGGCTGAGGACACCAGGCTGGAGGAGTCAGCGTCGCAGCCGGTCCCCTGGCCTGGCCCTGGAGCCCAGGATGTGCATGGAAAGGCCTGATCCCAAGATCCCAATGTCCCCTCATCTCATGCCCAGGGGACGTTGCTGTGTGGGTTGGAGTGGGGAAACTCTGCCTCAGTTTCCCCACTGTTCCCAGGGCACCAGGCCTTTCCCAAGGGAACAGGTGACCTGGTAGAGTGAATTTTCCCAAACGCATCCTGCTCAAATCCTCCCCGATTCCCAGAGGGGACCCGCTGGTGGGGCAGATCCCAGGGGAAAAGGCACTTGTGCTTCCCAGGATATTTATAAGCTCCCAGGGCACCAGGCCTTTCCCAAGGGAACAGGTGACCTGGTAGAGTGAATTTTCCCAAACGCATCCTGCTCAAATCCTCCCCGATTCCCAGAGGGGACCCACTGGTGGGGCAGATCCCAGGGGAAAAGGCACTTGTGCTTCCCAGGATATTTATAAGCCACAGGAAACTGGTGCCAGCCCCAAGGGCCGGGGGCTGACGGCAGCTCCTGGCTGGTCCTTTCTCAGCCTCGTGGGACTGGGGACATTTTAGGAGCTCTCTCCTGCTTCCGGGGAGGATGCTCCCACAGCAGGTGGAGGCTGAATGTGCCCCTTCCCACTGGGAAGCAGGATCAGGCTGTGATGGGGCCCCCTCTTCCCCGCGTCACCCCCCCCTCC